AATTCTTTGCTGTTTTGGTTTAGTGCCCTCTACCATGATCTCATGCGCTAATTTTGAATTTGCTACCCGCTGGATCAAGAGGAATTTCTAACTAGGAACCTTTACGACTACTCACGCTTCTATTTTCATACAGTTCAAGCTATTTTTACAGTGAATACAATGCACCGAAAACTAGAACTCCGAATCATCAATTAACGCCGTTTGACCATATTTGTGCTTACGCTCCTTCGGCCGAAAGACGATTTCACTAACTCACACGCCCTATGCATTTAATATATTTCCACAAAAAAAATTTCAAAGCGCTCCATTTTAGAAATGTCTCCAAAAATTTTGAGCAATGATAGTAATAAGTGTAGTAGCCTTGTAGTAGCTCCTCAGTCAACTATAAATAATAATGAGGTTATGTAAGTTTAGCAGAATAGTTTTCAATGAATTTATTTCATATTACGGTTTTTACAACTTTGTACAGTTTTTCCTGCAAATTTTGTTCGATTATATGGATCTCTTTTAACTATTGAATTTAGGGAAACCCTCTCGGAAACGAGCTCGGAAACCCTTGGAACATTGCAGACACTATACCTATACTCGCTTACGTGCCGGCGAATTCGAAAGTGGTGGAATTTCGTCATCACCTCTAACAAGCATTATGCGGGGCACTCTGTAATTGGGCGAAAGGCTGTTGAGGGCCCATAACAAGAGAGGGACAATAAATAAATCATTTTCTTATTGCCTTCCATTTGAGGATTTACACAAATTTATTACAGTCCACAGTGAAATGTTATTTTCACTTTCACCTTTGAAGTTTAAAAAAAAATGCCTATCCCCCATTTTTGTACAGTTTTACCTACCCTCATCATTTCGATTTAAGATCAGAATTTGTTTGAAGTTGGCGTATTGATATCCATCAATGAAACATGTTGGTCATCAATTTCTTTTGCACAAAACAAATGCTGGAGTGGACTGAATACCCAAGATGTTCAAAATTCGAAATTAGGCTAAACAGCAAATGCGTATACTTTCTCCTAATGGGCGTGTTTGGAATGAAGCCAAATACAGACAAACGCGATTACGCGACAGACTGTTGAACAGAAAACAACAAATGGATAATTCGGAGACTGGCCCCAAATTTTTCTACCGCAGTTGATAACGGAAAGTGCATGGCAATTAATGTAGACTTTGATCATTTACCACGTGGAAAATCAAGAGGTTCTCGAGCTCTCTCTTTTTAAAAGCACATACTCGAGGGGGTAACCACTCTGGACATGAGAAATGTCACGGAAATTAAGGTGAAATGTGGTCAATATCATGAAATGTAGAAATATTGGAATTTTTTTATGGAAATGTTGGTAAAGGTCACGAAAAACGAAATGTTTGGAAAATGTGATGAAAAGCATTTGCCTGCTCATTTTTTATGGTGAACTCAGTTTTTGGGGTTTTCGTTCTAGATTTTAGGGACAATTCAATGCGATTATTCAATGACATTTCACAACTTCCACCAGTGAAATGTCGCGAAATTTTGTCGTATTAACCGGAACATTCTTCTTAGTTTGTTAATCAATTTCGACAACCGACATCACCACATCTTTTAATTTAATCACTCACAACGAATTAGCTTGGAGCACAAAAGTTTGAATAGAATCAATAGCAAAATAAAAAGCAACTTCCGTAATTTATTTTGACGTTTATTGTTGTCATGGAAATACATTCGCGTGGGTAATTATGCTTAATTTTTCTTTTGATTCATTGAATAGCCCTCCGAATACCATTCGTAGTCGAAGTATTTGTAGATTATTTTTGAGCTGCTGCTCCACTCATGCTAGTTACGCTTTTTAATACCACTCGCGCAAGCGCTCGTGGTATTAATCAGCTTAACTAGCATTCGTGACAGCACCTCAAAAATATTCGACAATACTTCGACTACTTATGGTATTATATATGAAAATTTTTCCGAAAGTCCTGCCCCAAGATTCACCCCTAAACGAAGGTGCAAAAATGCGATCTAGATCAAATTAGGTATCTGGGACGTCTGGCCGTCTGGTGAGGTACGTACTCTGTATTCTTCTCGAGAATATGGTAGATGGGGTGGTACTTAGTTTCTGTGGTGGTCGTAGTGCTGATGGAGGAACCAGAAATGAACAGTTGAAAACACCGAAAAATGTTGGATAGGTCCTAACTAGAGGGGTTTCAATTTCATGCGTACACGGTTATGCATTCTCCCTCAAAACATTTACATTCCTGAGCACCATCGAAGCCCCTTTAACTAGGGGTTTGAAATAAAGTGCCCCCCCCCCTCCCCCTGGGAAAAAGAGCTTCGGTAGATACCCGGTTATCCATTCTCTCCTCAAAACATTTACAGTCCTCAGTACTTGTTATCATCTTTCTCAAGAGGGAACAATAGAAACGAAGAAGACTCACCCCTTCTAATTATCTCGTAAACGGTGCATAATCAAGTTGAAACTTTCACATTAATTTACCGTTGTTAGAAACATAATAGTATTAACTATTGATAGTATTAATGTAATAATTGTATCAGCAATGTCATCTTGGACCTTTCCTGTTTAATATAATTGTACATTAACAATATTCCAAATTCCGACGTCTCGTTCAGTCGCAATTCGCGTTTGAAGTTTTGACCCAACCATCAGTAAGATCGTGGCCTTCATTTTTTTTACCTACATTGCCAATTCACGAACTTCGATCTACAAATTTGATAAAGAATCCACCTGCAAAATTTTATTGTAATCGGACCGTTCGTTTTCGAGACATCGTGCTAACGGACAGACAGGCGGATGAACAGACATTGCAAAATTATGAACTGGCTAGGACCACCTGAACTGTCAACAGTTTGAAAATTGGGCGTAAAATCGTTTGGTTGAGGATGGCGAATTTTACAACAAAAAAAAACATCTTTTCGGGCGAGCACATTTCCACCTCGATAGTTATGTTAATATTCGGTAAAGTGTGATTCGGTAAAACTGCTTTTCGGTCAATTGAAATTCGACGTATTGTTCTTTCGGTATATTGCCATTTCGGTGAATTGTTTTTCGGTAAACTTTCCGGGAGCGAATTACACGTTTTAAAGTAGAATGTACTACCGGGGGGTATGGAATAACCCCCAGGGATAAACAGCTTCGATGGCTACCCGGTTACACATTCTCCACTGAAAACATTTACAGACCTAAGTACTTCACGGGAGGGTGGGGGGGGGGGCGCGGTGATGCGCATACTTTTCTACATATTCACATTCCTCGCATCAGTACAGAAAACCGTGAAAGTATTTTCCCCTAGTGGTTTCGTATGGAACTCCCACCATTTCTTCTTCTGCGTGCTTTTTGTACCTACTAACTCTCAATTCCAGTGCAAATTTTATTATAGCAAGTATGTTCGACATCGGGGCGGCATCAAGTCGCGAGCGATAAGATATGAAGTGCGGGTGCGACACAATCTTTCCTTGAAATATGATACGCTTTCTAGACTGTTCGGTGATTTTTTCTAGAAACTTTTCGTTTGCTATATAAGGAAATTGAAGGGTGTTTAGTTGCAGTTCCACTATCGATGACGAAATGATTATTACTGACATGTTCGCGCTCGCGTGTGATAAATTTGTGTACAAGACAAATTCATGAGTAATTAACTAAATCGGGTACACGTTACATAATTAATTCCAGCTTTTAATTGCACTCATTCCTTTAGTTGTATATTAAAATTCGAGTTAAAATTCAATCACCCTCTGAAGGTGAAGCACGAAAATCAAGTTATTTAAGCTAGGGTGTCTACCGGACTTTTGTCCTTCTATTACCTCAGTTTTTTTTAGATTCTTAATGATAATATTGAATATAGTTAAATATAGACAATAATAGGTGATCGGAATGGAAATACCATGAGTATATTTTTCTATAATATTTTAGTGCCTGCGTATAGTGCTATCGCTCAAATGTGAGTAGCTTATCCTGCTCGGTCCTCCAAATCCCGTAACAGGTCCTCAAAAGGCCTCCTTTTTGTTCTCTTTAACTTGGTCGACACCCTGTTTTCCCAAAATTTTGGCCATCTTCTAGTAGTTTAACCATTTGTGTTCAAAATTCTGCTTAGCAATAATCACTTTCGGGTTCCGCCTTTTGAATGACAAATTGCACATTGCCAAAATGTTAAGAAACAGCGATCCGTTTTAAAAATAATGTGTAAACTTTTCACGACATCTAATTTTTTAAATACTAAATTTGTAGTGAAAGTTCTTCCAATAGAGAGTGAAAGCTCGACTGCGGTACTAAGGGTTAGGGTTGGTAAGATCAGTGCACTTAAAAATAAAGGCAGAAAAATATACAGTGCTAATTATTAAGAAGTAGACATAGGGATTTATGTGTATTGTTTTTCTGAAGGGCGCCTAATTTTATGCAACCAAAATAACTTTTCAAAACAAATAAACATCTGATCGTCATATTGGGACCTTTAGCTTCAATGTCACTGAGATTGCCGATCTCATTTTCAAAAATCGATCTAGAAACGTTTTATTATGAACTTCCGCGTGTGGTTAAAATGCATCACTGTTCCTTTGTTGGTACTGACTTCCGCCGGTACTGACCCGAAATCTCGACGAGGGTCATAACTTTAGGACCGTCTATTTTCAAAGTGATTACCAAGGCAGAAAAAAGCAATCTTCTCAATTATGGCATACGGCATTTAAAAAAAATGGCGATGGATTTTTTGAAAACGTAGGGTATGTGAGATCTTGAGGTAGGAATTTTTGAAATCAAACACTTAATCAGAGATTTCCCTTTTTGTGATGCTATCAGCATTTTTAAACAATCCTATCAGCTATGAACTTTCTATCTGTCTCATTATTTGAATTTTACTTATTTTGTTATGATTTCTGTAATCGTTAATAAAATGTTCTGTTTTACAAGTTTGATACAACGTATGAAAACCGAAAAAATAAAGGAAAATTGAATAAGAAAATATAGCAATAGAAAATCATGAAATTGATTTTGATTTTTTTGTTTCAGGTCACATAATGGTGGAAACCATTTGAGAATCGGGAAAATATCTAGACAGTTAACGAAACCGAAAATGGTGTTGGATAAATTATCAGTGCAATGCAATGTTTATGCAAATACTCATCGAAGGAATCGCGCTGCAAATTGGGATCCAACTTGCGCAATCTGCATTCGATAGATGTTCGCATGGCACAAAGGCTTTCCCCTACGAACCCGACTTCATACTAGAACCACAAATCGCAGGTACAACTGAAATTATTCCCTTTCCAGAGTGTGAATTTTGGACGAAGAGTTACGAACTAAAAGGGTTCTCGCTTGCGACAATCCGCATTAAATGCGCCCCAGAGTGTAGTAAAAGTTGCGATATATCTACTTGGCTCGGTGCGTTCACAGTGCGTGCGCTGTATGCAGGGACGTTGGTCAATTTTTGGACCACGGCCCCCAGTCACCAAAAGCGCCATAGTTCCTCAGCCCTGCTGGCCGCTATTTGCTTTATCCTCGCTACTTTGACGATAGCGTCAAGGTGCTATGCGTCCAAGAACGCTGCACATCCATTAGCCCAATTCTCCTCACAACCCCAACCCCCTAGTTCAGTTACTATAAAAGATTCCAAATTCCAATTACACTCTTCCAAAATAGTATTAAGTAGAATATTTAGACTCCCTTCTAAAGATAAACAAAGTGATACTAGAGTAATATTGAAAAATTCTAAAAATTTGTTATCTTCTGTAAATTTTAAAGATTCAAATAGAAAAAAGAGGGAAGTTGAGGTAGATAAAACAAGTAAATTATATAACACATTTCGCAGTTACGATGGTAAACCGCTTAGAAATGAAAATTCCGTTTTCTACGATATCGAGATTCAATCCTCAACGCAATCATACTCAATAGAACCATTTCGACCAGAGCCACCCCTTATTCCAAGCAGAAATTTAAAAAAGGGACATTCGGTGAATTACTTGACAGAATCAAATTTCGTTTCTAAGGTGACTAGTGAAAACAACAGTGCGTGTAACACGAGTGCGAAATCTTCATCCGTAAGTGGTACCTTAAAAATTGTTCATCAAGAGCACGATCAGAACTCCGAACTTTTGGCCGAAGAGACCGAACGACCTGTTGGTGGAATTGGCATTCAGCGGCCCATGCCGCCTGTTGTTGACCACAACAGTAACTCATGTAAGTACCTCTTTTTAGTCACTGTGTTTAATCAATTCCACTAGTGCCGTTTCCCGAAAAATGTGTTTAAAAAAACGAACGTTTGCCAAATACCTTTTGATCTGCACGAAAACGGAAATTTCAATTTGTCGCGGAATTTTTCTAAAATTCCATTGCGAAATATTTAGTCGATTAAGTCAAAATTAACCTGTTCATTGGAAAAATAGCATTTTGGCAAAATTGCTATTCCTATTTCAGACCGTGACGTACCTCTAATGTGCTCCGGCTAGTCTGCCGAGAGTCGTTCCCTATGACCCAATCAACGTCTCCTTGCTTATGCACTGATACAGTTTGGCATTATGTATTCAAGTTACTTATAAGTACCGAAATAGATATTTTATGTTTAAACCTGTCCGCACATTAAAATCGATTCATTAATGACAGTCTTTCGTCCGTAGGATGGCATTAACAAGTTGGAGGTGCGAAAGGATTTTTGAGTCATGCTTCATGAGGGTGATGAGAGTGTTGAAATTAATAATGTGCATTTTTTTCGGTTGCGCACAGGTGGGCAGATTTTTAATTATAGACTGTAATGAACTGAAAGTGACTAATTTTTTTTAATGTTTGCCAACTTACCTATTAACTCTACTCTCAGCTCATTTACGTTTTAAAGAACTTACACGTTTGATAACGTAGTAGCAAAAGATGGGACGATAAGATGTCCCGCAGGTATCAAATCAAGAGTCACTGGGTATTTTTTACATGATGGCATGAAAATTAAATAATATAATTAGTGAAATAAGGATTAAAATTTAATTACAAGAAAAAGAAATAAATTTACAAATTATTGTAAATAAATCACGTCAGCGGACGACAGTCGGCGGTAACCTGGATGTGATTTCGGCGGAATGGACGGACGGACTCGAGCGCCGACCAATGGATACGGATTTGTCCTTGGAGCAAGGTCGGAGGTAGTAGCGGTTTATTATTATGGCACGTTCCCTAGCAGGAATGAAAGTAAGAAAACGTTAATTAGCGGCGTCTACGGGAAAGCAAATGCAAGGAGAACGAAACAATATCCTCTCTTATTAATTAATGGAACAGAAAGTAACAAACGTTGCAATTATAAGTAGCGGTAGACATTTCTGTGCAAGAAAAGCAAAAGCTGTAAATACGGTGCGGTCGACTTAAAACTGTATGAATGCAAAATCAATTTACGGAAAGTAAACAACGGCTTTACCTCATAAAATTCGTCAATTTCATGAAGGGATCGACTGTTTTCCTAGCTGACACAGCGTATTCTGTTATATACATCCAAAAATTAAAACTTCCTTAATTAATTGGGCCACCTGCGGACGTCCTAAAATATGTAATTGATCTTCAATTTCAAATTAATAAAGAGCGTTGCTTTTAAGACCACTTCCGCCTTAATCGGATGCTGTTTCTGCAACTCAGTAGTTTAGCTACCGCTAATTACACTTACTTAATTTGTCGGATAATATTTCTAATTTCATAATTCGAAATCAGGCATTGTCTCTTAGGTCGAACCGATAACTGCGTAACGCTGCATGGCTTAATGCTCGTTTTAAATTAACATAGGAAACTAAAATCAGCTAATAATGACTGAACACACCTAACATTCTAAAATACTAATTCGCCCTCATATTCTAAATGGCAAGAGCTTTCGGACGCAACAAAGATAATTGAAATATCTTGAAGGGAACGGTTGCAAACGGCGAATTAATTACAGCTTTTGGCGGAGGCTGACAAATAGAAATTAAATCTATTACCGTGACCTACTATCTTCAACTCCTAGAACCAATACAAATACTTTCGGTACGACACTTTTGGTAACGAAGGGCCTCCAGGTACCAAGTGATCATGAAAGTATGGAAGGCGGAAAACGGCAAGAAAAAAGGGTGCTTGGTTACACACAATTCAGTTGCAGACTTTGGGAAGATAAGGTATTCTACAGTCTACAAGTATCAAATTCTCTACCAATAACGTATGTATAACCCGAAGATCATATACTTACATGGCTTTCATTTCAAAACGAACTACCGATTGTAATGTGTTGAAAGAAACCCAAAGTGACTGCATATATTATAATAATAATTGGCAAATTAAGAATGACCCTATATTTTCTTAGTTAAAAGAGATACAGAAAAATGTTTCATACAAAGTTTATCGGACCTAACCTCATTTTTTAAATGAAACACCCTGTATATTTTAATCTAAAAAATCTTTTTTTGAATCTTTTTCACTCAATATTAATTTTTTTGTATGTTATATTTTTAAAAAATAATTTATTATACTGTCGTTACATTAGATTGTACGGGGTGTTCCATTAAAAAAATGAGGTCGGGTCCGTCAACTTTTTTACTTGACCCCGTATACTAATTTTGAAAACGGCAGATTATGCAACAATCCGAGCAACAATCATAAAGAATGTTTAGTGAAAGACGGGCCTTCTAAACTATTCAGAATCCTATGTACTTTCCAGTGCATTCATACACTGTTGAGAACGTTCCAGAGCACCTTACCATCCTCGCAGAGGTCCTAGAATTTTATTTCAGGAATTAAAGGTAGATATCTCGGTTCTAAAGGTTAATTTTGTTTCGTAAAGCATGGGCGACGCTTCATGAGCACTTTCACAGCATTTACATAGGCCGTTTCATACTATGTTACTACCGACTCGATGGATTTTACCTTCTTTGCGCATTTTCCAACTAATTTGGGAAGGCGCAATTATGACCACTTTCTTCGTTCGTCCGTCGGAGGCCTTAACCACTACAGTTTTCAAGATATTTAGTTCGTTCTTTTTGCGTTCGGTAGCTAATAGCTCTGGCACACACAGATGCTTCTAGTAAAGACAAGCATATTGCATACAACAACAAGTAAAACAAATCAATTAGCGGAGCGATAGGAATTACTGTGCAAGAAAAAGCAAAAGCTATTCCTAGATACGGTGCGGTAAACTTAATGTAAAAGGAAAATTCAAATACGGTACAGTTGGGGTATTATTATCATTAGATCATTCAGAAATAGCCAATAGGAACACACGTTTATTGTGCGTCGCTAACAACGACCCTATACTTTTGTTTCTATTGGATACATCTTATTGATCTAGTGACAGTGAAATAATGATAATGATAATGTTCTAAATGACAAGCGCTTCTACACGCAACATAGGCAATTGAAATATCTTAACGGGAACGGTTTCAAACGCCGAATTAATTGCAGCGTTATTTACGGTAGCGGTTGCTGAAGCAATCTAGAAATTAAATCAATTAGGTACCTTTAGCTTCTATCTTAAACTCTTAAATACTTTCGACACGACACTTCCGTAACGAAGCGCCCAACTTAAAACGTTTCTAGATACTGGTTGTTGTTCATCTACAGGAAACTGGTAATTTCAAGTCGGAAAATAGGAAAAAAGGTGGTACTGTAATTTTGCAACAAATCTTTAACATAGGCTGAAATGAGATCTCTCTTCAAAGAATTTAAAATTTGCAATGTAATTATACAACGAACTATTGCACCCAGCATAAGAAGGCGAAATATCACGCACCCCCACTATTCATATGCAATTAATTGCACCTATTAGTGCGCCGCGGATTCACTTGGCTCCCCTTCATCTGCCAATAGTCCGGTGCAGCCTTCTTACGTGCCGGTACCAGGTCAAAGCAAAGTTAAGTAGGCGTACCCACAGTACTTTCAAATATTTAAAATGTGCACAGTGTGATTTTGCAACTCATCGCCACGGCATCTCTTAACTAAACACCTCAAAAGATTTAAAATGTGCACAATGTAATGACATTATAATTATGGAAATGTATACGAATTTTGCCCGAATAGGTTATACAACGTTCGTCTCGAGGTTCGTCTGGTCTGCTGTTACATATTTATATAAATAAAAATCAATATTTGGCTCTGGTGCCTGTCTAAACCGTTCATCGGATTGCATTGAAACTTCGGGGAGTGTTGGACGTATACTCGCGAAAGTTTCTGAGTTGGTAAAACACTTCCCGAAATCCCACGGGAACGGAAACAGAAAATACAGGATGTTATGTTTCACAGTCGAAAAGAGCAGGAGGATTGGGGGAATTTGAGAACCTGAGAGCCACTGAAGAGAAAATTAGAAGAAATGTTTAACAAGAAATTGACTGAAACATTAAGGAAATTTAAGAGGTACTCGAATCAGTAATGTTTATTGTTCAACAGATTCTTAGTAATCCATAAATGAACAATCATAAAAGTAAATATAGAAGTGTATACATACTGCATTATTAACATTATTATTGAAAAAGTAAAAAAATATAAATGGAATATAATTATTACAAATCAGTAAGAAAAGTAAACAAACAGTAACAGAAAAGGGTATATGTGTATATATTGGTACACTTAATGTTGCAAAGTATGTAGAAAGCAATTCTATGAACGAAAGCAAATTAATTACAAAATTCTGTTAATTAAAAATAGAACTTCAAACATTCGATAATGAATTATAATTAATGTCACAGTTCTGACAATTCATATTATAATTACATGCCATTATTAAAGATTTTGGAGTAGGATAAGTGAAGGTGTCTAAATGCCTGGTAGAATACATTGGTATAGTAAATGACAGTTTTTCCAGTAAATAAGGACAATCTAAAGTATTGTTTACAAGTTTGCACAAAAACTTAATGCTATGTAAGGGAGAAATTGAGAATAACTTGAAAAGGGCTTGTGCAGAACTTTAGGAAGACTAGACCAACTTGAAAGGAATCTGAGGAACTTGAGTTAAGGAGATAATTGTGAAGTGAACGTAAAGGTAATTTGGAATATTGGAAAAAGTTTGAGGGAGAAGGGAATTTGAAAACTTTCCTCATTTCTCCTGCACATAAAGAAGAAAAACATTAAATAGAAGAATAAACACTTCAAATCTTTATTTACGTAGCCACATCATATGGCATGTAGATGTAGAACACATCAACAAGTTCCAAACATAATCATTACTTTTAAATAATTTAAATAGA